CGTACCTCGCTGCTCTCCAGCTCCCTTCCATCCCCATCCACAGAGTCCTGCAGAGACGGCAGCATCTTTCGTGCGCCGCAACGAAGCCTGCCCCCCCCTGCCGTTACACGGCGCTCCTCTTCCTGCTCCGCGCACTCCACACACACTCCGGTTCCGGCTGCACTCATTGCCTGGCCTGGCTTTCACTCAGCGCCGCGCCTAAGCCTGGAACCGCTCCCAGTTCCTGGAAGGACAGGGCAGGCTTGAGCCGGCTTCCCAGCCTCCCCCTCTACTGGGATGGAAGGTGGCTGCCCCCCCCTGCCGTTACACGGCGCTCCTCTTCCTGCTCCGCGCACTCCACACACACTCCGGTTCCGGCTGCACTCATTGCCTGGCCTGGCTTTCACTCAGCGCCGCGCCTAAGCCTGGAACCGCTCCCAGTTCCTGGAAGGACAGGGCAGGCTTGAGCCGGCTTCCCAGCCTCCCCCTCTACTGGGATGGAAGGTGGTGCTTTGTGTATTCCCACGAGATATTTCGTTTCAGCGCTACGCTTAAAATCTCTCCCAAAGAGTCCCAAGGTGGCAGCTCTGAGCATTTCTCCCCCTTCCAGGTATGTCCTCCTTCAGTTTGGAGGGAGAATCGTTCATTTAGGAGGTTTTGAAATCTTCCTCGCTCTCTTAGGAAGAAGAATTTTACTGAATGTGCTTACATTATAGATACTGAAATTAATTCTGAAGCTGTTTAAATCCCCCCCCCCCCATCAGTTTACCATTTGTGGGGAAAACCCTAATTTTTACAGAAGCTACAAGTCCTCTTTTATATCTCTTCTATACTTTTCAAATCTCAAATTTACAAATTTCAAATCTCTTCTATACTTTTATAAGTAAATTCACATTTTGCAAATAAAGAAACATGTCTTGCCAAGTACCATTTCACACAAGAATTTCAGTGTCAAATTATGTCTACAGACATGACATCTTGAAGAGTAAAGACCTCTACTTAGCCACACAATTATGGTATTGACCAATAGTGATGCAAACTTCTCCAAACAGCCCTGCTGATATGCCTCAAAGGCCAGCATGGTGTGGCCACCTCTTGATGACAATGATGGTTCAATCCCTATAGTTCATTCCTTGGTATCCATACTGGGACCATTGCCACTTAGGACTTGTTTTGAGGGGATGAAATGCCTGCTGTTTTGCCTTAGCGTCATCACACAGCGCATCTGCGCAGTGATACCATGGCATTGTGTTGACATTTTGAGGGAATGCAAAATGTTGTTCCTCTCGGTGCTATCACACAGTGCATCAGTTGTGAGGATGTTATGCACGGATTGCCAACCCTCCCGGATTTCCTCAGGTCTCCTGGAATTAATTAATCTTTAATTAAAGATTATGCCTTGTGATGAAACCGCCAGGAATATATCTCCAACCAAAGTTGGCAACCATATGCTGTGCTGATGTTGGATAGGATGGGATCACGTTTTCCTTTTGTTAATGACTTTGCCAGGAATATATCTCCAACCAAAGCTGGCAACTGTGCTGATGTTGGATAGGATGGGATCACGTTTTCCTTTTGTTAATGACTTGATGTGACATGTTGGAACACCCCTAAGGCCATGCTGATGCTTTCAGGGGAAAGGACTGTTCTGGATGTGGCAGGCTGACATGGTGATTGCTGTGCCAATGGGGCTGTGGCGAGGCTTTGGAGGGCAGTTCTGCCTCAGCAGGTTGGGATGGGGAGACACAAGCCTAGTGGCACAAGCACCACATCACAATGGCACATCCATCCTGTCCAACAAGCCTGTGGGCACCTTAAATCTCTTGGCTGGTAGGCCCCGAATCCCTGTGGCTCTGGCCACTAGGGGGGGTTAGTGCGCGAGGTTCTAACCCTCCCCCGCAGGACTGAAACAAAATGGCTGCCGCTGGCAGTCGCGCTCGTACGTTAGCACACTCCGCGGCGGAGGGACTGGAACCAGGCCGACGTCACGTGGCAGCCCCGTCGCGGAGCATGCTGGGAAGCCAAGGGCTTGGAGAGGGTGGCGGGGGGGGGGGGGGGGG